CTATAACTTGACAGATTATGAATTCAATGAACTAAGTCGTAGAAACATATGGGATATTAAACTATATAAAATCGCTAAAAAGATTTACCAACAGCAAAAAGACAATTTTTTAAAACTTGAAAGCAAGCTTTGAACTCAAACCAACACGATAGATCATTGTCCGTTCACTGCGAGATCCCGCGTTATGCGTGAAATAGAATGTAAAAACAGGGCAAACAAAGGTCATAGCGACAGAGTAGCGACAAGCATCGCGTGGGATTCGACAAACACGAAAGTATTTTTGGGGATCTTTCCATGATTAATAATTTCTTTAACATTTCTTGTCATTATATTTCTTTGGCATTGATATTAAAATAAAATCTGTCCACGTATTTGGTCATGATTGACTGGAAACGATATATTCCTCAACAGCGGCGAATCCAGCAAAATATATTGGGGGGGGGGGGTCCAAGCTACGCTTAAAATATACGGAGCGTAAATAGCAGAGAAGCTATGCGTAATCCAGATGACATGAATCGTCATGCGTTTGGGGGTGCATGGCCCCCTGGCCCCCTCTGGATCCGCCACTGTTTCTCAAGACTCGTTGTCTAAGTTTTAGAGCCATACACACAGTACCTGCGACAGAAGCGCCCTCAAGTGTCAAACATCTTCACCACATGCGAGATCCATCGTCAGAGGACGCTAGACTTAAAGGAGATGATGGAAGCAGATGGTTGTACCAAAACCTACATATATTCTAAAAGCCATAGCCTCGTTTTCGTTACAAAATACATCGAACATATATAGTGATATAAATCGCTATTGTATTTTTATGCGTACGCATCTGGATTATTCAATTATGTGCCATGCTAATATAAATAATTTTTTTAATTTTGATTGGATATTAGGTATATACAGATATTACGTATATACACATTACCTGCTAATGGCGCTAGAACCCAAAAATATGTCCCCAACATGCAACTCCCCTGAGAGATCCTGTAAATCCTTGGTCATAGATTCCTATGAAACGCTTGTTAGATTCCAGGCATAGACGTTAAGTAGTCCATTGGAAATCACTGTAGTTTAACAGGTATATTACATTACCATTTGTTACCCCGTTTATTATTAGCAGGATCTCTGTTTTAACCCAGACACTGTCTGAAAACTTCAACAGACACCCAGTTAGCATCCTGAATGCAAATTCACACAATAATTCTGCCAACGGCGCTTCGCGAAGGCCTTCAAGGGAGTTTGAGCCAAAGTCCTTTTTTCACCACTGAGCATGTTACTGAGAATATTTGCAATGCATAAGGAGAGAGAACCTGCAAAATATTGAATAAAAACAAAGGGGATTGTGATAAACTTCTTATTTGGGTACTGTGAAGACCCCAGTATAATACCACTTCAGTCAACAACCAACCAATGATCAGACATGTAGTTCACGATATAATAACTCTTTATTAATACCAGGTTAATGGAGTATCGTCTCGCAAGACAATCATAGCATTAAACAACCTAAATACAAGATAACTAGCCCTTAAATAGGCCATGGCTCGTAAATCATAAGGAGGTTGGCTTTCATTTGGGAGAGCCAATAAAATATTTCTAAATGGTATATTCTAACTGTCTATTGCCATACATGGCTATGTGACATCAAGTAAACCCTGGTTAATCAACTTGACTCTTAATGAGAGATTTATGAGTTCCTGTAGGAAGTTCAAGTATTCTAAACTAAATAGAAGCCCATATGTTTCCTGGCTTGTATCCTCTGGGAGGGTCAAGTTTCTCTCATTAAACTGTGTGACCAACGCCCACGCATGGACTTGCACTTAACACTATTCAGCTCTGAAAAATATCATGACACCCCTTTTCTTCAGGTGAAAAATCGTACTTTTTCTAGAGGGTTATTCAAGTGTCAATGATTCTAAAAAGTTTAGAGTTATCTTAATGTTCAGCATAATTGATCTTCGGATGGTGCAATGAATCAAACAACAACAGTTTATATCATAGTATTGCCTCCTACATAAAAAGGTACATAAAAGTTGCATGCTCGACTGTAATAGATCAACAGTGACATTCACGCCATAGGCTGGATAGAAAAGCAATATTACTGTCGAGGTGTGGGAAGATTATGATACAAAATCGTCCTCATTTATTATAAAGTTCTGGTAGAAATGTGAACATTAGTGTCAAGTTCAAGGTAAATATCAAGATATGAAGCAACGAATACTGATTCAGATTTCTTTTTAACTCTGAGTTCTGAGAAATACATCAAAGGAATTGCATCAATAAACTTCGGATTGTTTATAGAAAAAAACATCATCAATGTATCTATTTGTGATTTCTGGTGATTACATTTTGAAGAAACTGTGCTTCATACAAATGTAGAAACAAATCAGCTAGTAATAGTGGTGCACTATTTGTATCATTGGAATACAAATGATTTGTTGGAATAATGTCCTCCACACAAATTCAAGCGTACTGACAATATCATTCTTACTGTAGAATACCTTATTAGAACGTGTTACCTCGTGTACAAAATGAGTTTGCAACCAAGAACAATGCTGTTGAATATTTGTCTGCCGTAATTTCATTTTCTCAAGAGGTAATGTTGTGTATTATGTTGAAAAATAAAATGTTTGAATTTACGTGATGTTCGAAAAAGATCTGCACTTTAAATTACCTAGAAGCTTTTTCGAATAACACAATATCCACATCTCATTGACAACACCCCTTGAAAAGACGGTATCATACTATCTTTCCAAGACCCTTCTCAACTGCAGATTATATAGTTGGTAATGTTTGCATTCGTAGTACACGTTGAAGAACCAGCAATGAATCTATGGTGTTTTGTGTAATTTAGGATTCCAGTACAGGCTAGAAATTGATCATTATCACTACCCATAGTTGGTATATTGAGTGACGTCATAAGTGACTTACTAGTAATTTGTAGTTGGCAATGATTTCTTCTTTGTCAACAGGTAGCTTGCTTGTATGTAGAATTGCCCGAACTTTTATCAGGCACATGTAACAATACGGCTTACATATAAAAATCTAATGCTATTGGATGTCTTATCAGCAGAATTATAAAAATTTGCAACTATCAACTATGCATTTGCAACTATCGTCATTAGCAATGACTTAGTCTTAAATATTTATTGGACAATTGGGTAAATGTACATTTTGGTACAAAGTCTTTCACTTGCTTTGTCGAAATTCAATGAAATATGACTGACTGGTGG